TTCCCTAACTGAAAAATATTCTATATTCTGTAGTATGTTCTTTTAAGAGTCAGTCAACATGTCCATTCATCCTCCTTAAAATCTGAATTTCACAAACAAGGGATGCTAAACATCAAATTGACCTTAAGGTCAGCCAAAGCGTATTGGGATGAAGTTTTAATGATTTCTTCAAAGAAATGCATTAAGTTGGCTACTGAATTACTGTGATGATTGACTGTTTTTATCTTCAATGCATCTCCAAGTATTACATTACGTAGCAATCTTATACTTTAATATGGTTTATAAAGGCTCAGCTATTTCTTTAGCATGAACTGAAACAATATAGCTGCTCTGGGAACCTCCTTATAGTACACATTCGACCATAATTCAACATCTTTTTTGGTACTGACCGATCAAGTTTCTTGTGTATATAATATCCAGTTACATTGATTAGTCTCTCTTCCTTCTATCATATGCTCATTTGGATAAAAGGTCAGTTACTGTAACAAAGACCCAAATTTACCATGGCTTAAGCAAAGTTAAATTCATTTGTTTTTCACAAAAATAGCCTGCAGTAGGTAGCCTAGGACTAACATAGTGTTTCTGCCCCACGAGACATCTGAGAACCCTTCTAACTCAGAACTGCTAACCCATAGGGCATTAGGTCTACCATGTGTCCACGATAACTCAGTTATATCTGAATTCTAGCTAGAGAAAATGAAGAAAAGATACAACACTTGTGTGAGTTTCCCTTCTGCCACAGCTAACTGTAATTATTGTCTTTATTCAAAGTGAACATGTGTCCAACTAAAATTCAGGGGTTCCTGCTGTTGGCACAGTGAATAATTTATGCTACTACTAAAGCAAGAGATGATTTTTCCCTCTGAGATGGCACATTCACTCAGAAGTTCCCTGTGGTCACAATTGGCAATAACTCATAAAGGTATTGATTTCAATATCACTTAATTCACATTCTGATGGCAAGTAGAACATTGATACATGTTAACAATTGCAAGACCTTTGGTAAGGTGAAATTTGTGCATTGATAAAACAGTGAAAGAATTTAGGTATAATGTAGGTCCTGTGAATAGAAACAGGTAGGACTTGTTCAAAAACCACATATGATCGGGAACCAGCAGTTAGCGTAATGGCTAGTCACTGGACTCCCACGTAGTCGATCGCAGTTCACATCCCGGACCCGGTGGCTTAAAATTCACGCCGGGTGCATGTGCAAGCATGCCCAAGATCCCGAGAGGGGAATGGAGGAGAAGGGATTGCAGCGTGACCATCCCCCCAGGGGGTGATTTCTCGCTTTCTGTCTCTATGTCTCTGTCTGTCTGTCTGGCGAGCGCACGTGCCCTAGAGCAAAAAACCTCTCAAAAAAAAAAAAAAAACACATATGATCAAATGGTTAAAGTTCATGTAAACAATGAAAGGAAATTTAATGAAAAAATTGAGAAGACCAGACAAAATTAGAACAAGGTCTTTTCTAGAAAAATACCTTGATATTTATAAGTATCACCATATCGAAGAAATATGTGACTAGTAAGAAGAATGTCCTCAAGGGTCCCCCGCATATATTCCCCACACATGCACATGAACACTCTTACATATACTCAAGGTCCATCACAAAAACAAGCCCCTTCCATTAGGCGGTGGGTTCAGGGGACAGTATGGTAGGAGAAAGAATGGAAAGAGAATGTCTAGTTGGTTTTTATGAAACAAAATGAAAGAGAGATACTAATACTGGTTGACAAATATCACTGGGATGGGCAGAGAACATTTAAAAACATCTGGGAGAAATTCATCTACCATTATCCAAAACGGGGAATCTTAAGGTTCAATTTTAGAAAAGTTGATGGCGTTTTTGAGACCCTTGGCTTGTGAATCTGTAACTATGGTGCCTTGCATCAGGTATACATGTGACGGGAGAACCGAACACTCTATGCTGCTTCTCCACCACTCCTTCACAGTCCCTCAGGAAGATAAGAGACGCTCTT